AACGCAACAAGCCCTGAGCTGAGGTAAGCAAATTGTATTATTCTTCTATTCATATTTTAATTGGAGCATTGATTATATCCATGTCTTTGTTGTTACGCAGAGAATGCTTGAATCAGACAACTGAATTTCCGAAGTTTCCTTATCTGCACATACAATTGTAATTTTACTACTAGCTGTATTGAATGATCAATATTATTTTGTAGTTATTTGGTCTGCTGACCAGTGCTTATTGTTACTACTTAGTAAAACCTACTTGTTTTCATAATAAACCTTTTAAACAAGCATTTTTATTCCAATTGATTTTTCCTGAACATCTATTATTAAAAATGTGTTGATTATGCTTAAACTTATTTGGTGATTGTCAAGGCAACTATGGGAGAAGTGAAAAGATAATTATGTTCCACTCACAGAAAATTTAATGACAGCAAAAGTCAAATTATCATACACAATTATAAAAGATGTATAGGAACTTCCTTAAATTATACAATTTCAATACAGAAAAGACTGAACAAAATATGGCAACCCAACTTCAACAGCAGCTGTTTAAGTTTTTTTGGCTTTTTCTCTTCGGTAGCAGACATTGGTCAAGAGGCTGAAGTGCTGGGTAAAGCCTTTGTGGTGGGTGACCTTCTTGATTTAACAGAAGCGGCTTCGCTTGAGAGGTACTTAGATCCAGTGGAGTAGATTGAACGGAGGGAGGTGTAGGGTTCACTCTAAGACTCTAACATCAGAGGGACCAACATCATCAAAAATATCCTCCTCTGTTACCATTGCAGCCTGTGTGTGAAAACAAAAATAGAAGTTAGATTTGCCTTTACAAGCCTTTACACAAACATCAGATGCATCAGTACATGAACAACATGTAGTCCTCCCCCAAGAGTTGAGGAGCTCAAAATCAAGAAACAATGCGGGTTTGTTGCTGTACTCTCGCATTTCAATGAATTTCAGTCGAATAAACCAAAGGGGTAATAGGACCACTTAACCTAAACAGTGACAAAACATGGATCGTTTGGAATTGTAACTCACCGATTAATCCGGAAAAGTTTTGTTGAAACACATGTCGGTTAGGAGGTGTCGTTGCTCGCCGCCTCGCCTCAAATAACCACCGAAAACAGGTGGAATCTCAGGTAACCAACTCAGAAAAATGTTGATCAAAACACACAACAAACCG